CTCTATCTCTTAATGTGTCAAGATGCTGTATTCTCCAGTTTTATTTCCTTCTTGGAAAGCAAGTAGGATGTTTGCTAGGAGATTACTTTTATTGGGAAATACTGGAACTTAATTAGTTGGATGACCCACTTGAAATGGGAATTAAGTCATTTTTACATAAGCCTATCTGGTGATACTAAACCTAGATAATTTGCTTTGATGGAGATCAAGTTTTTGCTGCAAATGTATAAAAATATCTAGCTGGCTTATTAGCCTACAATTCACATCAGAAAATGATCTAAACTTAAAAATTACAGTAGTTCAGAAGCTTTAAATCATATGGGAAATTTTTGTATTTTTGTTCTACATAATTGCAGCTGAACTGTAAGAGTTTTCTGAACACTGGGAAACAGTAATCATTTCACAAGTTTATGAAGCCACCAAAGCTGTGAAGTCATTGATTTCTTTGTTGAGAGTTCACACATGAACAGACATGAGAAGAGCATATTTAGCTCATTTCCATACCACTGAATGGGACTCAGCATCTTGGAATCCTATATGAAAGAACTTCACTTCTACTACTATAGAAATTAGGTATTTCTATAGATTTTAGAAAGGTTACAGAGTAGCAAATTGTAGCTCGATGAACAAGTGAATATTTGTAATTTACATGACCCCAGAGGAATATATTTGCCAAAAAATACCTTTCCTTTTGAGTGTTCCTTTGTAGTTTGTCATTATACATGCAGAACAAAACACCACCAAGAGTAAAATCATCTTTATCTGTACAAAACATCAGTATTATGGAATGATACAATTATGTCCTATTCTGACAGCATCATCAGAATATCACAGGAATTTACTTTTTGCAGAAATCTAGCAGTTTAAATAAAGAATTAAAAGTCACAATCAATAGACAGCAACTAGATTGCAAGATTAAGTGGATTGTCACATCAAGAAGTATTTTTGTTAGCATGCCCATAGGGAAGAAAAGCTAAGAGAAATACAATCTGCTTTCCCTACAGGTATG